GACTGGTGCCTTCTGTGTGAATTCTGTCTTCCTCTCTTGCAGGTTTTGCTGTAGCCCAGTGTCTCAACCAGCACAACCCCTCCTCATCTTCGTCACCGTCCCCTTCCTCCAGCAGGAGCACCGGCTGCTGCAACTCGGCAGCCCCCAGTACCACGTCCACACCCTCCATTACACAGAGCCCATCAGGTATTGGAGCCAGGGCTCCTAGCTCATGCGACTCGGGGCGCTCACAGGGTGGTTCTATAAACTCAGCCTGAACTCCATGTGCGAGGTTTTAATGAGGCTGTTTAATTGTACAAATACTCTCATTAAGCAGATGTTCTGGAAAACGTAAAGCACGTAAAGTGATCTGCCAAGTTATTTTTCCTCGGAAGCAGCTTCTCTGCAGTTGGACAAGCCAAACCGGCTACGTGTCTGAAAGCCTTGGCTTTGGAACCCTGCCCAGCAGCATTCACAGGGAGGTCTGAGGGTGGACAGCCCACCGATGCTGGGTTAACCTGCATCAGCAGCTGTTCCAGGCTTGCCCCACGTCCACAGCCTCTGTCCTCAAGTCCTGGACACAGAGCAACTGGCTTGCCTTCTCTGCAAGGGAGCAACAGTGTCCCAGGCTGATGTGTGGACACTGCTGTTTATTTCATACCTTCCATGGCGTGAATGTAGAGGTCAGGTTTATCCAAAGGATTAATATGGCTGCAGCATTACCATAAATGTAAAAAAAAAGCCCTTCCAAGCCTTCAAAATGATCCATGTAAATTTCTTTTATTCTGCTCTGATGTTTATGTTTTTATGTCAGGTTCGTTCTTTTTATGTTGAATTTATTTCATGCTGTAGCAGGGGGAGGAGTGAAAATAACATTTCAAAATAATGTCCTTTTAAAAGGGTTCTTGGAGACAAGCCAACTTGCCTACCTGGATGTTGGCCTGAGGCTGGGGGAGGCAACTTGCAGCCTGAGCTTAATTTCAGAAGCCCTCTTGCAAAACTCGATTTAGATTTCTACCACAATTAATCTGCTTCAGCATCATTCTGGAGGCCTTCCTGTGCCATGCCTAGAAGTGGTAAATTGTTTTAAACCTTCCCTAAAAATATTCCAAGGAACTTTTCCATGTTTAGTTCCTCTGTGTCTTAGGGACCTTAAACTTGGCTCACAAACATGAATTCTGAAAAGAATGGATTTATAAAACTAAATGCTTACCAACAGATGCCTGTCACATGCAAATGCTTTTTCTATAGACATTCCTAGGGGAAAGAACTTCTCCCCTTTTGGCATCACATCGTGTGCGGTCTTGTTAGTCTGTGGTAGCCCCACATCAGAAGGAGTCTGGGAGCGCCTTTTCCAGCTAACGGGTTTTATTAAAAGGCAGAAACTTTTGTGGAAAGATGCTCCCAGGCTCCTGATAGTTTGCTCCCCGTACTGCTTTGGAAGCAGGTGATTCGTTGGCCTTTCAGTACTACTCCAAGTGTAACTCAGCTTCTTGAACCCTACACAGAGCCAAAATGAGGGTGCAAGATGTGGCCAAAACAGATCACTGGTACCTGTACTTCAGGGTAGCAAGCCATTTGTAAAATGGGCAAGAAATGCTGAAAGATGATTGAAAAATCTTCTTATGTGTCTTAAGGCAAGGAAATTAAAAGTGGGAAGCGTGTCATGTACATGGAGGAGTTAGCGTTGCGGACAGAACCGCTGCTGTGACCGATCCTGAGGCGCCTCACGAGGCCGCTTACAGACTTCCAGCTTTGCTTTTTTCTTTTCCTTTTTTCCCTGTTGGTTTTCAATCAAAGGATTTTGCTCTGGCTGCACCCTGGCTACCCTTTAGAGGACTCTTAATAGGCACTAGGAGCTCGAAAGAGGAAGCTTTCCTTCTGACACCAAGGAAAGTCCCTTAGACACATAAGCTGCAAAGCTCGAAGGGGATTTTAGCACTTTCACTGGGATCAAAGTCCATTCCCCAAAGCTCTTCGCCTTCTTTGCAGTTGGTAATTTGAGAGAATTACTACATAGTTGTTGGTACTTCAATCTGTACAACAACAACAAAAAGATTGCTGGGTCCCTTGAGGTTGCTCCATTGGTGGATTTAGCCTCCGCCTGCTCCCCTCCCCTGCCCTTACCTGTCCGAGGACGGCTGGCGCCAGGCCCAGACGTCTTTGTGCGCTGCTCCGACGAGCGCCAACCCAGGCAAAGTCCACCCACGTCAGCTGGTTGCAACAGCTTTCCTAGTCCAGGGCCTCAGAACAGTCCTCTTGTGTCATGGATTCAGTGGCCTGCCGAACTCGTGCTTAAAATGTGAGCATTGAGCGGGAGCAGAATTGGACACGCTCTCCAAGGAAGGGCTTTTTTCGTCCCCCAACGCCCAACAGTTGCATTTGCAGCCCGCCATCTTTGGACGTGCGTGTGGTTTCAAAGGGCACCTAAACGGCTTCTGTACTTGAAACCTAAAGGGAGGAAGAGGTGGGTGGAGGACTTCAGCTTTGAAGCGTGTCTGGCCTTGACCCGGAGGCTCGCGTGGGGTTGCCCAGAGCACCAGTCTAGCCGGGTTGTAGAACCACGCAGGAGTGGTCGAGAGTTCTGACGTGCTTTGCATCCTGACAATAGGCGGAGCAGAGAATGGTAGGAACGGCGTGTGAAGGATTTGGGTACCGCTGGGAAAACCGTCAGGTCTCCCAAAACAGGAGAAGGTGGAACATGTATTCCCTCTCTCCTTTTCCTCCATGCCATGTTGTCTGTCGCCCCAAATACTTTCCCAGCTATTCTAGCATGCTAAATTCTGTGTTTTTTCCATCCTTCTTTTATATTGCTTCCCATGTAGTCTTTTTGGTTTAAATAAATAAAGCCGTGCATTTAGCTTTGTATTCCAGGTGCAGTATTTCAGGCTTGGTATGTGAAAGGATACATTTCTCCAACAATATAATTGATTGCCTACTTTGGGAGAGTGGAGTGCGTTCAAGGAGTTTATCATCATTAAATGAGGCGGAATATTGCTAACCCAACAGAAATCTCTGGAAGAGCATGCTTGCTTCATTTGCAAGTGAGAACGTTGCCCTTGCCTTGGGGCACCGTCCTCAAGCCAGACTGTGGGCACGGTTGGTGTCCAGCAACCGGCACCCTCCCAGGTTAACGAAGCGAGCGACGCCTGCAAGCTGATGTCTCTGTTGCCATCTAACATCTCCTCCTCCCTGTTTCCTTCTTTCTGTGATGACCCCTCCCTGCTCCAGCTGTCCTATGATATCTCCCTGTGTTTCCCTCTAGTAAGGCCTGGCAGGAAAGAACGGCGGAGAGTCCTTAGTCTTTCAGAGGCTGACAGTCACGGTGGACACTGGGTTTAGGCCGTCCAGCAGCAGCTGCCACAGTCCTTGCAAAACCCTTTCAGGCAGGTCTCTTCTTGGATGTGTTTTCGTGCACGCTTCTCTTCCCATCCAGATTCTGTGCTAACGCGGCATCGTCTTCCCCACACACACAAACAGCTTCCCCCCCTTCTCAGGGCAAGCAGAGCATTTTCCTGTCCCAGTTGAGTGTTGCCTCTCTTTCATTCTCCCTTTTTTCTTTCCCCTTTGTGGAGAGGAAAAAAACTCAGGTCTCTGCTGGTGGTGTCTGGTGGGATCTGACCACGCCTTCAGCACTTGCACAGTAGGAAGGAAAGGGCAGAATGGGCATATGGACCGGGTCAGGTCTGTGGAAATGTGTCTCTCTTCTTGCCATAGCACCAGAGGGCTGCTTGGAGGTAAATTCAATGGAATCCAAATCTGAAAACTTCAAACGTGGCTTGATTCAAGCAAGCTGTTTCTTAGCATGAGCGGCTAATTTTTGTTTGTAATTTATAACTTGGCTGTTGGCCATTTTTCATTTTGCAATCTGTTGGCTACTTGGTTTTATTTGCGGTAATTTTACTTTCAGCCCAGGACTGCTTTCTTTCCACCTTTTGTATTTTGAAACCTCATTTTACTTGACCCAAGACTGCACCTGGTAGGGTAGGAGTCCATGAGGGGCTCATCTGCCAGAAGGTCTCTGTTTCTCCATGTGGCTCCCTCTTCAGCTGTTGCAGCATTCTGTGCACTTGTTGTGAAATGCTCTTTAGCTTCCACCTTGGTGGCCATGCCGAGGGTTTAACTGTTTTGGAACAGCTTGTCTTCTGGAGGCATTGAAGTGGATAAAAGCAGTGTTTTCAGGCAAGAAAAATATTCTGTGCAGATAATTTGCAGAAAAAGCAGGCTCTTACCTCTTGCCGTACCTGGCCTTAACCCTCTTCTGCTCATGTTTTCAAAGATCTGCTCGTATTCATGTGAACGGCCTTGCTGTAAATGAGCCCGAGGCATCCAGCCAAACCATTCGACAGATTCCTCAGCCATGTGCCCAGATGGAAAGACCTCAAGGGGTCTTTTGCTCTCAGTGTCTTTCTCTACACACATACGCGCACACACACACTTTCTCTAGCTTCAACCAGCTGTGGGAAATAATGTGAGAGCATGAGAGACCTGGCCTGCCTCCTGAATGCCTGTCCCAGCTGGCCAAGGATATTGAGCTAACTCACCCGCATCCCACCCCATTCCTGGCACCCTCGTCCATGGCCAGGCGGGCACGGAGCCGTCAGGAAGGCACCAGGTAGGGGAAGGCAGGCCTAGTGGGATCATTGTCAAAAGTCTCTTCCTGGCTATGCGTTGTGACAGTTTGAAGGGCTGATTTTAACTGACAGTGAAGGCTTTAGTCAATAGCATTGATGAGCTGGTCAATCCTTACAGTCTGAAACGGGCTGCAGAGTTTGCCTTCATTAATAAGTAAACACCTTGGCTCGCTTGCCTGCATGTCAGACAGCAGAGATGGGCCCGGTCCTTGGAAAGAGAGTTCCAGGAGCAGCAAAGCAAACCTGTTAGGAACAGGGGCAGCCTTTGGTCATCTTGGCAAGGGGCACATCTGGGAGGCAGAGACATTTGGTCTCAGACTGAGGCAAGCCTTTCCAAGAACTTCAGGATGCTTGCTCTGGAAACGGGCAAAGGCTTGACTTTGTAGTGCCTGACTTCCAGGTCCTAACAGCCCAGCTTTCTGGGTTCCCACGCAGCAGCCATCAGTGAGGATTCCAGAATGCCTTCTGCAGCTCCTGAGACCGGGCATCCCTGGCGGGACCACGTTTGCCAGCATTTGCCAGCCCAAGTTCAAAGAAATGGGTTCGCTTCCCGTGGGAGCCGGAGCAAGGCAGGTGCTTGGTGGGTCTCTCCCAAGCCTTGCCCTTGCTGTCTTCGTTAGCCCTCGAGCCGCCAAGAAGCCTCTTCTTCTGGGAGCATCTGCTCTCGTTTCTCCAGGAGAAGAGAAGGGGTGGTTGAGGGGCCTCAGAGCTCTTTCTCTTCTTTCTCATTTCTCTCACTAAGGTAGTTGCCTTTTACTTAATTTTACTCCCCAGTTCTTACCCTCTCCCATTTGCTTCTTCTGTTTGAAGTTTTTGGTTTGCTAGAACAGAATTCCCCTTGCAAATAATGGCGTCAATGTGTCCACACTCTGCATTCTCAGTGGGAGGGGTCTGCGGGTACCTTTCCCTCCAAAACAAGGATAATACTGAACTTGTAGGGTTCTTTGGGGAAGGGACAGGTGTTCCTGACACACCAGGTGGGGTTAGATTAAGAAGCAAACCCTGAACTATAGCAGGCACTGTCAGATTCTAACTGGGGAACTTTGTTCTTCTTTCCTTGATTAATATGCCATTTTTCTGTTTGAAATGAACACTCAAGGAAACTTAAAACAGGCACACATGCACACAGATACACAGGCAATAAAGCATTGAGACATAAATGATAAAATCAGACTGTTCAATGCCTAGGGAGAGAGAGGCATCTTTGTCAATTCCCTGTTTGTAGGTCACCATACCTAGGAGGGGAGGGGAGGGGAGGGAAGACTGGGGACCGTTCATTGTCACTTTGTAAGATAGGCTTTCAAAAGTTCTTCGTAAGTGTCAAGAAAGGAAGAGGGTGACTCCAAGATTTAAAAAAGCTTGAAATGAAGCGAGAAGCCTGTAAGATGGGAAAAGAAAGGCAGGTGGTGATGCTCTCAATAAATACAAAGTCAACCCTGGGTTAGCAAAAACTGACTCCCCAAGCTAAGCATATGTTGAGTCATCGTGTTAAGCACATCCAAGGTTTTACAACAACAACACTTTCTGATGGGTGCAATGGCCAACTGCGAGACAGCCCAGGCAAGTGGCATGTTCTTCCTGGTGTGTGAGAACTCTGCCACCACTTGACATCGCTTAGGCAAAATGGCACAGTTGCAAGTTTTTCTCCATGAAGCTCATTGCCTATCAAATGGCCCAGTATCTTTGGAAAGTGGGGCTCGTCCCTTATGCCCACGGTCTCCAAGGCACAGCAAAATGCCCTGCCATCACCACCTGGGTATTGATGACCATAAGATGGCCATTCCCCCAAAGACCTGAAAGAACTAGGCTGGAGATCGAGGCAGCCATCCACAGGAACTACACTCGCAAGTACAGTGTGGGTACACCATCCCAAGGCTAGGAGCTTCTCACGCCCAGGAGGTCCCTAGAGGTCCTCTTAATCCTTCCTCCCACTGGCCACCCGGCTGCCTCAGGAATCCCATCAGGCGAGTAGCCCCCGCTGTGGAAAGGTCAGGATAGCACTCAGCTTTCGTGAGGGTGGCAGACTCGGAGTCCTCGAACTCTGAGGCTGTTCTGCCTAGATGGTCTGAACGTGATAGTCGGGCCCTCTGGGGTGCTGAGGGGATCCGGGTAGCTTTGCAGCATTGCATCCAAGTGTAACAGGGTCATGCACTTCCCTCTTCTTCCGCAGATGACTCGGTCGCGCTTGAGCAATCTGTGCCCTCCTCGTCCGGTCAACTGTCCGCAGTAGATCACTCTTCGCTACCTGTTTTGAAATCTGGCAAGAACCTTACAAGGAGTGAAGTGGAAACGGCGAACTTATCTCCGAGCCTGATTCCTGCCCCGCAGCCGACAATCTCCTTGATCTCCAAGGACAGCACGGACACCCTGAGCGTGGAGTCGCTGACGCTGGTCCCCCCCGTGGCTGCGGACAGAATCCTCGCGGTCGGCTGCGTCCAGCCCCCGGCTGCAGAGCTGGGTGTCTGCCCAGACCCGAGGCAGCAGCCTTAGTCGTCCGTCAGATTGTGACCCAGAGTGGGAGGGTGAGGCAGGCCTCGTTCACCTGAGCAGCGGCTCAAGGCCTGCGGATCTCCCCAGTGCTGCGGCCTGGCTCTCTTAAACAATAAACCTTCAGCGTTTCTCTAAGGGAAAAGTAAATAAGAGGCAGCTGTGAAATCTAGGACCCGTACGCGACGCTGGCGGCGGTGGGGCCTAATTTAAGGGATTGGAAATGTTTCGGAAGGACCGGTGGATTTTTCCTTTGCTGCTTGTTCTGTTCCACTTTTGCTGAGTCTGTCTGCTGCCAGCAAAAGCTGCGACTGCAGCAAAGCCAAGTCAGCTCCTCTGGGTTGGATCTTCAGCAAACGTTCTGCTTCCTGCTCTGCCCAGAAACGGAGCATCAAGGAACTACAGAGGGATTTCCCCCATGAACACATACCCACCGTTGGAGCAAAACCTCTGGTCCACCAGCCTCTTCCCGTTTCATTTTTCTTTGTTTTTTCCCTTTTATGCGAGGGCACGAGTAGTCTGTGGGAATCCTAGCTGAGCTGGCCATTTGTACTCATAGCACTGTAAACTTTAATATTCAGCTTGTGTGTATTCCGTGTGAAATAATTTTAACTTGAAGTACACACACATCTGTTATGGGTGGGGATCTACAAATACAAAATTCAGATCTTTTGCATACATCTTAAGGGCTGCTTTGGGTGAACACATGGAGGAACGTTGTCAAGAGTTTTGTGTAAAGGATTTCAGAGGAATGTAAAATATTTTAGCATACTGATACTGTCCATTTTATTTGTGTGTGTGTGTGTGTATTCACGACATGCTTCACTGAATGGGAGTGGGGTGAGAAGAATCTCATGCAAACGCCACAACTGATTCAAATTAACTCCCAAAATTAATCCAGAGGGGAAACTCTACATCACCGTATCTGATGATTTTCTCTCCTGGCTTCTGAAACAGAAAAATGGGACTTCTTTCGGAACACGCTGCGATTCGCTGTTTTGCTTTTCGCCCCAGCGTGGTCACGTGGCGGGGGCGGGAAAGGCTGGGCAAGGGCACGTCCCTCGCTCTGTCCTCCGAGGCCCCCAGTCAGGCCCCCGTGGGTCCGTCCTTTTCCAAAAAGAAGCAGCAGGAGGTGATCCTCTCCCTGCTTCCTCCGCAGGGGCTGGAAGGACTTAAGAAGCCCATGGGGTGCCTGCGGTCATGCGCTGCGGTTAATCTCCTGGGCACACCTGCGCAAGCAAAGCAGACCTCGTGCCCAGTGAATCCTGAAGGTCCAAGCAAGCAATCCTATCGTGAGGAGTCATTTCTTGTGTTTTAGCACGTTCGTTGCTCTACCAGCTCCCTTTAATATTTGCATTGCCAGAATTTAGCTCTCAAAAAGGGTCACAGCCTTTCACTAATTGGAGGGAGTGTGACGGATGTGACACCCGGCTTCAGAAGTGTTTCTTTTTTCTCCTGGGAATGGAGCTTGAATTCAGGAAGAGTTTTGGGAATCGGGTGGCCCGGTGCAAGGAGCGTCGGCCTTTGTAAGTACGAGCCCGTCAGAGGCCGAGCACCGAGACCTCAGGGGAGGCCGGCAGCAGAGAGGCTGGGGTCGCACTCAGCCGCGCGGCTCTTAAATCAGCCCAGCCCCGCTAATCGAGCTACCCGGAGGGGTGCGGCCGGCCTCTTCTGCGCATTTGGGAGGTGATCTGTGAAGACGGCCAGTGCTTGAGCCATAGAAGAGTTCAGAGCTTTCCTCTTTACAGCACGATGGATCCGATTCCTAAAACAGCAACATGAAGTGAATGTATTTAAATTCCCAAAGCCTGTTTTTCACAGAATTCAGCTGCGTTCCTAGAAGCAAACCGATGCCGGCGTGGCCTTGGCTCATATGTCATGCTAAGCCACGTTTTAGAAACAGCAGTGGCTCAGTGACACCTTTATTTTCTTCAGTGCATGCTGTACCTGGTCTCTCTGCTCAGACCAGGCACTCAAGTGGCTGCTGCCAAACCCTACGCGATGTAAGAATCTGCCGCGGCTGGGTTCCCCAGGGACAAAGCCCACGCGTGCCCCAACCACCTCTTGGAACTTCCCTCGAAAGTGGTTATTTGGCAAGGAAGGCCCCCATTTCAGTCATCTGGAACTTCTTGGAAATTGGAATAAGAAGTTGGAAATGGGTTGTGAGAAGAAAGTGACTGGGCGTTCAGTTTCTAAGTGGTAGTCCCTTAGAACCCTGGGCTGCTTACGAGGAGCAAGACAGCTGAGCGCCCGTGGCACATGGTGATGTCCTAAGCCTCGGGTAGCGCGGGCACAGAAGCGATGCTGGGCCCGAGAAGGTTCCTTTCCGAGCCTGTCCAAGGGAAGCTGGGCCGCCCAGCCACGCGCACTTCTCCCGTCCTGCTGTCAGACATGGGAAATAAAGGCAGGATGAAGCCGGGCACCTTACAAGCCAATCTCGCGCACCTGCCGCTGAGCCGTTCCAAAGATGTGTTTGAAGAATTGCTCTGACAAAGGAGGGAGAGGAAAGAGACTTGAGCAATGATCGGCAGGTTCTGGGTGGGACTGGCATCTGGGGCCGGCTCAGAGCCAGTTCAGGTGAGTCAGCCTCCGGGGCTGGGAGGCAGCAGTTCCTGGATGTTGGGTAAGGAGGCAGCTCTGCTCATTGTGTGGGCTGGGGATTCTGGGAATTGTCCCAATCTCTGGAGGCCCCAGGTTAGTGAAAGCTCCCCCAAATTATTCCTGCAGAGATGGCAAGGACTTCTCATGCTGGGGATTCCCCACCCTCTATTTTTCTTCTGTGTCAGAAGTCAAATCCGTGAAAGCCAGTGCCATATTTTCCCTTATTAGATAATGCTAAAGTAACTTCTGGGGACGCGGTGGCGCAGCGGCTTAATGACGCTGAAAGTTGCTGGCCAGAAATGGTCGGCGCTTCAGCGGTTCGAGTCCAGCCTTCGC